TGCACCCCATCACGGTGCAACAGTCTCTCTCCCTTCTTACTGGTAAACCAAAAGCCACCTTGGCTCTCTGCGCTCAGACAGGCATACCAGCCTCTCCCCAGACTCGGTCGCAAGCATACGCTCTGGGACGGCAATTTAATATAAATTAGGGAAAACAGGTTGCGGTTTCGTCCTTTTAGCCTGCTCAAGTCACCCTCCACCTGAATTTAATCAGTCTTAATGGCCATTTATTTCAGCCGCAGCAGCCCAATTGGGTGTGTGTGTGTGTATGTGTGTTTTACTACCAACTGTAGCTACCAGCTGGAAAGCTGCCCAGTCTCCTTTTCTATTTATCACCTGCCAATATGCCCTGGTCCAGGGACACAGCTGCAGCCTTGACAAAGAAATCGCTTTACTCCCCCTGCCGCCACCCATCTGTTGTAATGGCAAATTAAATACCAAAGGCAGGGTCCAAAGAGAGAAGTGGAAGTGATTAGAACTTATTTGCAAAATGGCACAGCATTATAGCTAGGGGAGCCGCTGAGGCGGTGCCAAAATGGAGGGCAAGGATTTACATAAAAGTTACATATGCTAACCGATAGGCCTAAATACAAATTCATAGAACTGGGCCAAAACAAACAAGATGAACTTTAACAGGGAGAAATGTAAAGTATTGCACTTGAGCAAAAAAAAAATGAGAGGCACAAATACAAGATGGGGGACACCTGGCTTGAGAGCAGTACATGTGAAAAGGATCTAGGAGTCTTGGTTGACCACAAACTTGACATGAGCCAACAGTGTGAAGCGGCAGCTAAAAAAGCCAATGCAATTCTGGGCTGCATCAATAGGAGTATAGCATCTAGATCAAGGGAAGTAATAGTGCCACTGTATTCTGCTCTGGTCAGACCTCACCTGGAGTACTGTGTCCAGTTCTGGGCACCACAGTTCAAGAAGGACACTGACAAACTGGAACGTGTCCAGAGGAGGGCAACCAAAATGGTCAAAGGCCTGGAAACGATGCCTTATGAGGAACGGCTAAGGGAGCTGGGCATGTTTAGCCTGGAGAAGAGGAGGTTAAGGGGTGATATGATAGCCATGTTCAAATATATAAAAGGATGTCATATAGAGGAGGGAGAAAGGTTGTTTCTGCTGCTCCAGAGAAGCGGACATGGAGCAATGGATCCAAACTACAAGAAAGAAGATTCCACCTAAACATTAGGAAGAACTTCCTGACAGTAAGAGCTGTTCGACAGTGGAATTTGCTGGCAAGGAGTGTGGTGGAGTCTCCTTCTTTGGAGGTCTTTAAGCAGAGGCTTGACAACCATATGTCAGGAGTGCTCTGATCGTGTTTCCTGCTTGGCAGGGGGTTGGACTCGATGGCCCTTGTGGTCTATTCCAACTCTATGATTCTATGATTCTATGAAATCATGTAACTAGAAATACAATGCATCTCAGCATAATGGAAAGGATTGTGACCAGCTGGCCTGCTCAGTTTGCTGGCAAGGCATGGGTGGGCAACTTCAAGGTCCTCCCAGCTCTCCTTTCTTACGATTTCCATCTTCAAGGTGGACTTGCACCAAACAGCCCTTCAAACAGTGGCTGCCTCAAAACAGAGGACTGCCCTCTTTCTGTGAACCAGGACACGCGGCCATCCTATTTACAGCTCCTAGCTTCCTCTGGAGCAGCAGTTCTCAACCTGTGGGTCCCCAGATGTTGTTGGACTACAACTCCCATCACCCCTAGCTAGCAAGGCCAGAGCTCTGGGATGATGGGAGTTGTAGTCCAACAACATCTGGGGACCCACAGGTTGAGAACCGATGCTCTGGAGTCAAGAGTGAAAAGACTTTAAAACAGCATCTGTAGCAGTGAGAGCGTTACAGAGAGAAGAGGTAATCGACGAAAACCTCTCTCCTCCTTTTCCGCTACAGGATGCCACTATGAGAGTCATTTTCAACCAGTGTCCTGTGGCACCCTGGGGTGCCTTGAATGCTGGTCAGGGGTGCTGCGGGAAACACTGGCCTCTGTGCCTCTTTTCCCTTCCCTTTGTCCTCTGATGTCCTCCCGTGCTTCTGCCTGCCAAAGGCTTGCTCAGCTATTTATTGCAGCAGCCCTGGCTATAAGGAAGGCACCTCTCTTGGGGGACCCAGCTCAGAGATCAGGGATGGCAACAGCAACTGACCAGAGGACTCCCAAGGAGAAAGAAGAGAAGAGGAGGCTGAGGGAACACTCCCTGAGGGAGGGTGTTCAAAAAAGGGTGATGGGCTACCGGCTCTGCAGGCAAGGGGTGACATAACTGGGCTCCTGAGGCCCACAGGGGTGCTGTAAAGAGAATGCAGTTGATCAAGGGAGCCGTGGACTCAAAAAGGTTGAAAACCTCTGCTCTATGAGATCCAAAGAACATGAGCCTGCTGGATAGTCCCTGATCCTGTTCTCAGAGTCACCACCCAGTTGGCTATGAGAATCCTGCAAGCAGGACCAGGATGCAAGGTCAGTCACAAACAGAAAAGTTTCCCCAATGCTTGGAAGCACATCTTCAGATACTGCCCATTAATATCAGGGAGATGAATTTTCCAAATGGAAGCAGTATTGGCATAGCCATTTTCTAAATAAATATACATAAAAGCTACTCAGAAGCCATTTTACTCCTTTTGATACTGTCAAGAGTAAATATGGGAATAAGCAAATTAAAGAACTGGAACCCTTGTTTCTAAAATTTGGAATATTTGTTTCTAGTTGTTGTGCCACCTATAAATATATTCAAAGGCAGGTGGTTTATATTTTGATCCATTAGCCCTCCCTGTTTACAGTCTTTTTCTTTTTTGTTTTTTTGTTTTTGTTTCAGGGTTTATTGCAACCTGCATTTTAAAAACACCTGTAGAAGTATTCTTGAATTCAGCATCATTTTAAATAGCCCAGCATCCAGATAACAAACTTCAATAATGGGGTGATTTACGATTAGGGAAAACACACATGACTATTAAAGTCCCGTTCCCCTCCCCCACCCCCCGGCAACAACACACACACACACACACACACACACACACACACATGCTTTGTTTCTGTGTCACTAAAGTGAAGTCCAAAGTAGAATATAATTTACGGCACTATAAAAAGTTTTACAACCAAAGCACAGTGAAAGCTTAAGACCCAAGTCCTTCTGTAACATGACCAAGATTTATCTTGTTAACGTTTATTTATGGGAAAGCTCAGATTGACAAGAACTTTCATGAAGTTGCTTTTCCACTGACACTTTCCCTTACTAACTGGGCATGGGAAAAGTGGGAAACAGTTCAGGCTCAATCGCGAGGCTATTCTAAACATTTTTACCTATACATTGATAAAGAACCTTCAGTCCAGCAGCAGCAGAGGGGATTCGAGTGTTGAACAGGAAAGGCAGATTTGCTGCTGCCACTGAAACAGATGGGATAGCCTGGATGATACCAGGTAGGATTCTGGACCAGGGATGAAATGTGCAGATAATTAAAAACTATTGTGATTTAAAGCGCAGCCTCTTCTGGCAGTTTAGAGAGAACTATTGTAATGGTTTCTAAACAAAATGGATCTCAGCCAATGCCAAAGCAGAGGTAGTTGGATGCTAACAAGTTGCTGTTACATGAGCTCCCGAGAAATATAAACTAAGTCTGAATAGATGTTACTCCAGCTGAATGTCAGCATAGCTTTGCTCCATCTTAGCAGGCCAACGTACTGTTTCTGTTAGGGTGTTCTGCAGAACCTTGTACTATTCTAATGGTGCTGTTAAAACTGGATTCAGCAGACACCCCAGAATAATTCCCAGCATCCTGGCACTCTCCCGACAAAGGATGGATTGTGCAGCTGAAATGCAATTGGGCTGTGTTGACACTGTCACTCAGCAAAGTGCGTGATGGAAAACGGCAAAATATGAAAAGTTAAAGGAGCACCTGTACCAACCTTTCCTGCTAGTTTCTTACTGAGATGTTGACCCTGGAGCTGTCCACACTGGCAAGCCTCATCTCCTCCCTAAGTAATTATGGAACCGAATGGAAACCCAGTCAAGAACTCTGGACTTTTGCTTTTAGCGTAAGGGGTGGTTTCAACCCAACAACCAGGATTGGAACTACTCCCACAACAGTCCCCTCACTGAAATTTCTACTTTGTTCATCCCTCTGGTCCTTAGCCATACACAAAACCTACCCACAGGGTGGTTGGGAGATCATCTGACTACCTGGATGCTACTTGATAATACTTCTATAGTTCTGCTACCCATATGATAGCACCACACAGCCAAGAGACCTCAAGCCAGGATAAAAAGACACAGACAGATTGATGCCCAATTACCATTAGGAGTCTGAAACCCCAAATCCAATGACACCAACCCCACCCCTGAGCTGTCAGTGAGCTACCAGAAGGTGTACTGGAAGAAGCAAAGACCACCAGTGTCGAAGCAATGATTCTTCAACATCAACTTCGTTGGATTGGTCATGTTGTTTGGATGCCTGATTATTGTCTTCCAGAGCAACTACTCTATTCCAAACTTAAAAATGGAAAGCGTAATGCTCGTGGTCAACAAAAGAGGTTGAAAGACTCTCTCAAGGCAAATCTTAAAAAATGTGGTATAAACACAGACAACTGGGAAACACTGGCCTGCGTGTGCTCCAATTGGAGAACAGCCTTTACCAAAGGTGTCATGGACTTTGAAGACACTCATACTCAGGACGAAAGGGAGAAACGAGCGAGGCGGAAGGCATGCTTGGCAAACCCTCACCGTGATCAACTCCTGCCCGGAAACCTGTGTCCCCACTGTGGAAGGATGTGTGGATCCAGAATGGGTCTCCACAGTCACTTGCGAACTCACTGTTAAGACTGTGTTCATGGAAGACAATCTTACTCAGCTACGAGTGATTGCCAAAGAAGAAGGAGATCAAAAGGTGGCACTGCTTTGAATTCTCACCCTCCATCAAGACCCATGTGGGACTGCTACAAAACAACCAGGCCCCTAGCCAGAAAGGCAGCATGCAGCCCCTCAGGGAGTGATACTTTACCTGACCGGGGTGTTCGTGTAGAATTCTGGAGGTACACGCCACTCTTGTATAAATGCAAAACTCTTTCAAGCTGAGCAGACGTTTCGTCTATTCCCCACTGAAGTTCTCCTATAACAAGGGAAACAGCTTAGAGACAGAAAGAAACCTGGTGTACAGCAACAGCTAGGGGAGCTTTAGACAGGCGAGGTGTAGCTTCATTGTGGAGGCTAATAGAGAGCAAAATGACAGAGGTCAGGAGCAATAGATGGGGTAGCAAGGGAGAACAAATGAAACTATTATTAATCACACTTCTGTCTTTCTCCAAGGAGCAGCAAATGGGGGGCCCTGGCAGACTCTTCCTATGTTCTTAACTTTCACATTCCCCCTACTGCATTCCAGTTGCTGGGGGATGATAGACCTATCTACAGTCATACCTCAGGTTACAGCCGCTTCAGGTTGCGTTTTTTTGGGTTATGCACCCACTGAAACCCAGAAGTACCGGAACGGGTTACTTCTGGGTTTCGGTGGTCGCGCATGCGCAGATGTGCCGCTGCAGGTTGCGAACGCTGCGGGTTGTGAATGTGCATCCCTCACGGGTCACATTTGCAACCCGAGCGTCCACTGTACAGTGGTACCTCTGGTTACGAACTTAATTCGTTCCGGAAGTCCGTTCTTAACCTGAAACTGTTCTTAACCTGAGGTACCACTTTAGCTATTGGGGCCTCCCACCGCCACCGCACGATTTCTGTTCTCATCCTGAGGTAAAGTTCTTAGCCCGAAGTACTACTTCCGGGTTTGCGGAGTCTGTAACCCGAAGTGTTTGTAACCTGAGGTGTTTGTAACGCGAGGTACCACTGTATTGCCTTCAAATCCTGCATCCAGACTTCTTGAATTCAGGAACAACTCTGATGGATCAGGCCAGTGGCCAACCAGATGTCCATGGCCACAAAGCGGGATCTGAGCGCCACAGTGCTCTCCCCATCCTGTCATTTCCAGCAACTGGTATTCAGAAGCATTAATGCCTCCAACCAAGGAGAGCACAGCCATCATGGTTCATAGCCACACATGATAGCCTTATCCTCCACAAAGGCGTCTAATCCTCTTTTAAAGTCTTCCAGGTTGGTGGCCATCACTGTGCTTCCTGTAGGACCAAGATCCATCTTCTGTCTCTTCTCTGTCCTGGATCTTCCAGAGCTCAGCTTCATAGGATGCCCATGAGTTCTGGTGTTCCGACAGAGTAAGAGCATTGGATTGGCCACAGTGGGATGCAGGATGCTGGAGAGAAGGGAAACTTTCAGTTTAATCCAATGGAGATCATGACACGTTTCTTACCTGTAGCATTGACAATCGCATCGAGCAACGGCCTCAGGGATGGAGGGGCGCTGTGCGGCAGAAGATAAGTAAAGAAAAACCTACAAAGAAGGGAAAGTTGTTAGTTTTGCGAGTTTAGTAACCTCATAAATGAATAATAAAATTCCAGTAATTTACAAGTCTCTGAGCTATGCAGGAAATAGAACCATATTCTATAATTAAATCTAGAGCTGCGGCTATATTCACACAGCTGCTGGGGGAAGCATAGACAGAGCTGCTTTGGACAAGGCCACCTTGTAACTAACTACCTGTAAATACTTTATTAATGTGGAGATTTGAAGTAAAAACACACACACACACCATGAAGTTGATCTATTTGTAAAGCTGTCTGCCTCTGCTTGGACAAGGCTTTTTATTTATTTAAGGACTGTAAATTCAAAACGTCTTTCACGTGTCCAATCCCAAAAATCAACCAGCCAGATTGACATCAAACCACTAATATTTTCCAGTGCCTTCCCAGCAAAGTATTGGACATATGACACAATTTATGTAAGGCGCAGATTCAGTCGACAGAATTTGGTTTATAATTCCAATTCACATTGTTAGAATTTGAGTTACAATGCCTCAGAATAGGTTTTTTTTCCCCCCTTCTCTCTTTTGTAATGAGCCTATTTTCATTAGTGGCTCTGCATAATTTGCTACACAAAGGCTCTAAAGTCAGGCAATAACTCTATTGTCAAAATGTCACTAAGTAGCAATTAAACTTTTTTGAGTTGTCCAGAACTTTTCTGGAGGCTTGATGTTAATCAAACTTGTGGGTTGAATAGGAAAAGTTGAGCAAGATTTGTAAGCTGAAAGTCTGGAGCTTATAATAGTCTCAAGATGGGGTGCAGGTAATGTTAAGCAGAATCAACTAGACTCCAAAAGAAGAATGGATACAAAAACTTTGGAATATACAGAAATGGCAAAACTTACCAGAAAACTAAAATTTTTAAACCACAATGGCATGATTTATCAAGGGATATGAAATTTGAATTTCTTCTGCCAATCCCATACTACCATTGCAGTCTATCAAGTCTCTTTTTCAGAGTGACTTTTAACAAGATGGACAGTATAAACAGACCCATGAGACGTAAATTATTAGGTCATGGGCAGACTGGTAACATAAATAGGACGTTTCAATGGATGCTGCCCTGTCCCTACGCCTGTCCTAAAAAGTAAGAAATAACATTTTCTCTGCATGCATAGATCCTGCTGTCAGTCATATGAAAAAGTCGCTCACACCTGGGGGAGAAAATAAAAACACTTGCTGCATGTGTGTTAAATGAAGTCATAGGAAAGAATTAATATAAGATTCGTTGGTTTGCAGATAGAATACGGAGCTGGGTTCAAGTTAAAAGTCCTTCTCAGCTCTGATGAGTGGTTTTGTATGAGCCACACTATAAAGAGTTGCTTTATTTTATAGGGTTCCCAAGCAGTCTCCCACCGAAGGGACTGACCAGACCTAGACATGCTTAGCTTCAGTAGAATGCTACATTGCATGCCTTCAAACCATGCCTTGAGAACATGAAGACACATGGGGAGTAAACATAGAATCCTGATCACCAAATGAACCACAGAGAGTCAAGGCCAAACTACACTTTGCACTGCTCACACTTTAAAACAAAATGCTTTTTAAAAAAATATTTTCAAGAAAAATCAGCTGCTGGGCTCATGTCCAGAACATGGACCCAATTGCTCACTGCTGAAAATCACCCAGTTGCTACTCCCCACCCCTGCAAAATGTACAGTTTGTGGCAAACTTCACCTTCAGAAGCAAAAAGCTAAGGGGGGATTTTTTTCAGCAAGAATCTGTTGCTGTTCCCTACTTCGAGTTGGGAGTATGTTGCAGATCAGGGCCCTGCAGCTGATTTTTCTTCAAAACAAACATCTTGAGCGTGTTTTTGGAGAAAGTGTGAGTAATGTAACACTTTAAATTTAGCATTTATTTGGCCTTCAGAGCCAGACTGTGTTTGCTGCGTGTCTTTAAAGACATCCCTTCCAAATGTGGTCCTTCTGGATAATCAAGAAGAAAATAACTCATGAGGAAGTTACACCCCCTGTCCTAATTTCATGCAGCCCACCAGACACTGTGGGCCTCTCCAGGCCACTGTTTTTTCAGGGTCTCATTCTCTTTTGTGTTTTGTGTGAGCAGAGGCAGAGTTTCATGGGAAATAAGGGAGAGCTTGTCACTGTGCGTGTGACATCACGTGTGTCGGGAGGAGGCCACAAGGCCCACCATTACTGCGACCGGGCCCTCAAGATTCGGGGGAGCTCAGTCTGCATACTTTGGCCGGTTGAGCTGTCGTCAGCCCCATAGAGTTGGTGCCTATGTGTGTAAGAAAGTAGGTGAGAAAGTGGGGAGACCGAAAAGGGAATATGACTGCTCCAGATAGTGAGCCCAGGGTGCAACATTACCCTGGAGACAGATGAAGCTGAAACGGACAGGATGGTGGAAGGTGGCACAGAGGGTGAGAGATGAGGTAGCACAGAAAAAGAGAGGATGCACTAGGCCAGTGTTTCCCAACCTTGTGCCTCCAGCTGTTTTTGAACTACAACTCCCATCATCCCTGACTAGCAAGACCAGTGGCAAGGGATGATGGGAATTGTAGTCCAAAAACAGCTGGAGGCACAAGGTTGGGAAACACTGCACTAGGCAGTCCTGCCCACTTTGGGATCTGGTGTTGCTCACTGTCCGCATGCAGGCCCTAAGGCAATAGTGGGGAACCTTGGTCCTCCAGGTGTTGCTCAGCTACAGCTCCCATCAACCCTAACAGTCAATGGGCAGGGATGATGGGAGTTGTTATTCAGCAACACCTGGAGGGCCACATAGGGAATGTAGCCTATGGTAGGGTTCCCCATTCCTGAAATAAAACCATCTCTAATATTCAGAAGGGCTCTGGAGGTGGATCCCAACACTCCCAAGGAAATGTGAACCTCAACAGGGGGGAACCAAATGTTTCCCACTCCTGACAGCCCATAGCCATTCATTTCCAGCTGCTTCAATACCTGTAGGCATTGTAAAGATTCCTCTTCTCATTCATACTTTGGCATTTGCCCTCAAGAGAACAAGGCAGGCTGAAGTTTCTTGCTGGGAACTCCATGAAACAGTCCCTGCTGCTCGTGCAGGAGGCCTCCTCGATGCTGGCGTCATCCAGATCCGTCACCTTGAGCTCTCCGTCCACAATCACAAACTGCCGGGGTCGGAAATCCAAGAGAGTCACGGAGCCAAGGGGAGAGTGGGCCAGATAATGCAGAAGCTGAACTAAGCTGAAGCAGATCTGAAACAACAAGAGCCACGTTGTCACGCCTGGCTTCCCTGACAAGGCCGTCCTAGAAGGATCTGTTTATTGTTGCAGAGCATAAAAAAAAAAGACAACAGCCCTTTCATCATTAGAAACAGATTGGGGGGGTTACGAGAGCCAAGTGCACACACAAGAGGATCTCTCCATCATTTCCCCTGGTCTTCAGCACACAAGTTTGTCCCCTTAGATGTCCCAGGGGGAAATGTAGGCTTGCCACATAGGTGCACACATTAATCTTTGGAAAGGCAGCACACCATTGCAAGACCCATTGCAAATCCCTTCTCTGGCTTGGCTTACTGGAGGAGTGAAGAGCCAGTCGTGTTCCATATATCATTGGACTACAGCTCCCATCATCCCTGACCACTGGCCATGCTAGCTGGGGCTGATGAGGGGCTGGGGACCCCAGCAGCATCTGTAGGGCTAGAGCAGGGTTTCCCAAACTTGAGTCACCAGCTGTATTGGACTACAGTGCCCATCATCCCTGACCTGCTAGCTAAGGATGATGGGAGTTGTAGTCCTAAAGCAGCAGGAGACCCTGGGCTTGAGCTCTGGAGGCAATCAGAAGAAGTATCAGGAGACAGCATCCTCAGGCAGCTGGTGGGGCTCCTTGCTGTGCTGACACTTGCCCTCGACCCTCTACATCAGGTGGCTAGGAGCTGCCATTAAAATTGCCCACAACACAGCATCACCCAAGGGCAGGGGAAGCCAAAGGAGTACCCTTCCGATGTTTCCGACTACAATGCACCAGAGCCAGCATGGCCAACGGTCAGGAAACATGGGAACTGGAGTCCTCAACATCTGGAATGCACCACTGCGGGAGTTCAAAGTTGTTTCATGCTGATCACAGTGCTGCCGCTTGCCATTGTCACATAAGCCCACCACAGACCACCAGTATAGGAGAGGGCCCAGCAGAGTTAGTTCTGCCACTTCACCCAACCAGCTGCTTTTGAGATGGTTTTGAGACAGCAGATGTGATCCTCAGAGCTGGTCCTACTGTTGGTCAAAGTGAGACAACTGCCTCAGGCAGCCAATGCAAGGGGGAAGGGGGGAAGTGGCAGCCTCTGGTCTATTCCTCCTAAGGCCACTTTCCCTTTGTTGGAAGACACAGCTCTGTATGCTTCATGGTCTGTCCCAGCCACCCCAAACTATCATGCTGCCTCAGGTGCAGTGATGTTATCCTGCCACAGGGGGCAAAGTGAGATTCAGCTGCCAGCTGTCTTGCACTGGTCCTGGGGGTCCTGGTCTACTCTGCACCCATATTCTGAAACCTCCACCAACGGTTAATGCCTCTTCAAATTGCAGCTTTGAAACTCTACTTACGCGAAACCTGTCCTCCCAGGAAATCTGTAAAAGCTGGATCATCTCCAGAGGTGAGCCCAGTTCTGTGATGGCAGTCAGGGTGTCTGCGATGTCATTGCTGTCTTGGTAACAATATCCGTGAAGCTGCAAATGCGGATGGGGGAAAGGAGGCATTTGTACATTATTTGAATGCACGCACGCTTTTTAAAATATATATATCATCAGTGCATTGAACTCCGCCTCTGATGTGTATTAGAAACTAAGAGGCAGTATGCCTCTTTTGGTATACTTCAGTTTAGGCAGAAGGAAGGGGGGTTGTTTGCTTAAATCTGCTGCTACCCAAAAGCACCCCCGCAAGCAGAAAGCTAGTATCTCAAGGAGGATGGAGTGAAGGCTAGTTTAGAAATTTTAAGTGCTTAGATGCTGGGAGGTTTTTTACAAGTGGAAGATAAGCACCATCAGCTTACAGGCTGCATCTAGAAGGGAGACCTTTCCACATGTTAGGCAATACCCAGCACATTAGCTCAGGGCCTTCAGCCTCCAGATGTTTTGAGCTACAACTCTCAATCAGCTGTGCTGTCTGGAACTGATGGGAGTTGTAGTCCCAAACATCTGGGAGGTAAAGGTTGGGGAAGGCTGGACGACATCAATGAATCCCACCCCCCAAATGCAGCTTGACAGACAAGTCACAAAATTTATTGATTGATATATTTTTAGAAAACAAACTAAAGAAAATAAACACTGAAATAAAACCTGTGCTGTGTTCATGCACTGTTATAATACAGGAGGGAAAAAATCTTCAACAGCAAATAATTTATAAAGGATTCCCATTAGATCAGTAGTGTTTTGTTTTGTTTTGTTTTGTTTTGTTTTGTTTTGTTTTGTTTTGTTTTGTTTTGTTTTGTTTTTTCTTTCCAAACAGCATGTCAAGAAACCCTGGGGTTTGTTCGGAAGCGTATTTGAAATTACTCAATGAGAAGATCAGCATTTATTTTCTAAAAACGGTTATATCCTACCTTTTCAAAAGTTAGGTCCTTGGTACCGTTTGCCAACATAATATGAAACAAGTGGGACCCACAACAAAATCTTGCAGTGCGCAGGGCTTCCTGTTCAGTTCAGCTCATCCCCCTTCCTTGGTTTCCTATGCCTCCCTCAACACTCAGATAGCATTCTGGGACAGTGGCGTAGCGTGGGGGGTGCAGGGGGGCCAGCCGCACCGGGCGCAACATCTGGGGTTAGGGCAAATCCATGGGTTAGGGGGCGCAAATCCACGGGTTAGGGGGCGCAAATCCACGGGTTAGGGGGCGCAAATTACTTTCCTTGCCCCGGGTGCTGACAACCCACGCTACGCCACTGTTCTGGGACCACTGAACATGCTCACTTAGGTCCCACTGAGCTGTTGTGGGGGTCCCCTAAACCTCAGGATTTTGCCAAGCCTGGCAATACCTCTCTCTTGCGCAGGGTATGGGGAATATTGATTCCAACATGGGACCCACGGGAGCAGCCATTTTTTAAAAAATTACTGAGAGTGGATGTCTTGGGAGTGCACCAAAAAGTGGGGAGTCAGAATTGGCCCATGTATAAGCCACCCCTAATTTAGATATTTCAATGCAGTCTGGCCTATTTACACTTCTGAGCAATTACACAGTACAGTGCAGTGGTACCTCGGGTTATAGACGCTTCAGGTTACAGACTCCGCTAACCCAGAAATAGTGCTTCAGGTTAAGAACTTTGCTTCAGGGTGAGAACAGAAATTGTGCTCCGGCGGCGCGGCAGCAGCGGGAGGCCCCATTAGCTAAAGTGGTGCTTCAGGTTAAGAACAGTTTCAGGTTAAGAACGGACCTCCGGAACTAATTAAGTACTTAACCCAAGGTACCACTGTACAGTACTGGAGGAGATTGCCAGTAGAACCAGGGAGAGGAAGGAAAGGAGAAGCTGCCACAAACTTTCCTTCTGTCATAGCAAGAGAATTTTACCATGCAATGCTATACAAAGGGGATTTTTTTTGTTTCTCACCCCCCCCCCTTTTTCTTTTTTAAAAATTGCCCTAGCTACTTTTACACTTTGGCCACACACATTTTGACACACAGCCCTTTGGGGGACTGATCAAGTTTCAAGGTGGTACCCAGTTTGAAAAAAAGGTTAGCCACCTCTGCTATAGATGTCTCAGTAAAGGGGACCCCTGACCATTAGGTCCAGTCGTGACCGACTCTGGGACTACGGCGCTCATCTCGCTTTATTGGCCGAGGGAGCCGGCGTACAGCTTCCGGGTCATGTGGCCAGCATGACTAAGCCACTTCTGGCGAACCAGAGCAGCGCACGGAAATGCCGTTTACCTTCCTGCCAGAACGGTACCTATTTATCTACTTGCACTTTGACATGCTTGCAAACTGCTAGGTTGGCAAGAGCAGGGACCGAGCAACGGGAGCTCACCCCGTCATGGGGATTCGAACCGCCAACCTTCTGATCGGCAAGTCCTAGGCTCTGTGGTTTAACCCACAGCGCCACCCATGTCTTACTTAGATGTCTTACTCAGAATCAAATGTTTCCAGTGGAACTTATTCCCAGGTAAGTCTGCACAGGACTTACTGCCGCTTTAAAATGTGTGAAAGAACGTTCACCAGCTTTGACTCTTGCAACCCCATGCCAGAGATCTGTCATTGTCTGGGGAAACCGAGCCTTTCAAAAAATGTATGGTTGTATGAAGTAATTACTCCTTGTCTGAAATAAGTGCCTTTGCACATCAAAACACTGCTTTTAGGAAAGGGAGCATCGGACAAATGGGAATGTTAAAAGCGGGGGTGGGGGGAGGAAACTGAAACCAGCAATAGACACTTTGGCATCAGATCTGTACTTGTGGCAGTTTTCTTACACCTTAATTTCTGGGGCAGAGAACTGGGAAGGGAGTGTTAGGCCAAGCAAGCAAAAGTCAAACAGAAGCAGAAGGGAGCTGGCCTTTCAGGTGGGGAAAAAGAAGAACATCAGCAGTGGGAACTGTGTTGAGAAATTGCCTGGAGTCCACCAAGACAAATTAAAAGTGATGCCAGTTCTGGGATGGAGGCCTACATATAACAGCATGAAGACTGGCCATTAATTCCAGTGATTCCTACCAGTAGCAGTTTTCAATGCCAAACGCTACTTGTTACAACAAGGTGAAGGCAGCAAAATCCTTTGGAACTGTGGACCGTTTGCAGTGACCCCAGACCCCAGACTGCCAACCTTTGCTCTGGAGGGGGCTGCATTTTGTTGGGCGTAGTCTGCCAAGGGCCAAATTCCAGGGGGTGAAGCTTGCAAACCTGCATCTTGCTCGCTCTCTCTCCCCCTTATTAATTTAATTATTATTGCATGTATATTCCCCCACCCTTTCCTTCAATGGGCTCAAGGTGGAAAACACAATTCTTTATCCCTCATTTTACCTGCGCACAACAACCCTGTGAGGTAGGTTAGGTGGAGTGAGCTTCATGGCTGAGTGGGGGTTCAAACCTCACTTTAACCACTATAGGTTTCATTTCCACCTCTTTCTGTTGCATCCAATTCAGGGCTTCTCCCACCCATCTAATTCTTCCTTGGGCACATCCAGGCAGTGTGTATCTGCCACATTTTACCGCTGCACCACTAGCCAGGCCTTTCCCGCTCCTTCAGATTTCTTTTAGAGGTGGGAGAGAACAACAAATTGCGGCGACGAAAACGAACCCTTTTTCAGACGCGCCCCCTGCCCAAACAGAAGCCAAAGGTCAGACAGGACACAAAACCCGACATGTTCGAAACACAAAATAAAAGACCCCTAGTAAGCTGCCGTCAATGGGTAGAGATAGACAAACAGAAAACCCTTTCTGGCTTAAGTGAGATTTCCAAAGCTGGATTTGTCGAAAAGAACACATGCCAAGAAAAGGCCTTAGCAAAAGTGTTGCTTTTCTATGCCCAGAGAGGAGGAGGAGGAGGGAGGGACAAAATGTTCCAAAAAGAGAAACAGTTAAAAGCCAGCTTCTATGTAGCAAGGATGATGCAAGTGCAGAATAATTCACAGAAAGGCATTTTTCCTATAATCCAACCCGGCACTGCATGGAGGTGTTCTGCTCTAGTTACCGCCTCTGACCACTCTCCCTCGCTGCTCCAAATGCCTGGAATTCCCCTCGGAATTCTCTTCCAAACCAACCTTAAAGCCTGCGACATCCACAAATGCTTTGACTTAACCCCTCCACTTTCTTCCCCCAAATGAAACAAACCCCGAGACTGGGACCTGGGAGACTCAGGGTTCGAATCCCCACTCTGCCGTGGAGCTCACTGGAAGAGCCAGTCCCTGCCTCTCAGCCTCACAGGGTTGCTGTGGGGATTAAATGAAGAGGGGGAGAGCCATCTATGCCACCTTGAGCTCCTTGCAGAAAAGGGAGGGATAAAAACACAATAAATACTCAGAGTAGACATGACCTAAGCTAAGTTCACTAATTTCAATGGGTCTACTTAGAGAGATACCCCCACCCCAATAATTTGGTTACTTATACTTTGGGACGCGGGTGGCACTGTGGGTAAAAGCCTCAGTGCCTAGGGCTTGCCGATCGCAAGGTCAGCGGTTCGAATCCCCGCGGCGGGGTGTGCTCCCGTTGTTCGGTCCCAGCGCCTGCCAACCTAGCAGTTCGAAAGCACCCCCGGGTGCAAGTAGATAAATAGGGACCGCTTACCAAGCGGGAAGGTAAACGGCGTTTCCGTGTGTGGCTCTGGCTTGCCAGATGCAGCTTGTCACACTGGCCACGTGACCCGGAAGTGTCTCTGGACAGCGCTGGCCCCTGGCCTCTTGAGTGAGATGGGTGCACAACCCTAGAGTCTGTCAAGACTGGCCCGTATGGGCAGGGGTACCTTTACCTTTACCATACTAGTTTTAAATGTTTCCCAGATTTTATCTGCATGTGTTTTCGTTACTACAGTGGTACCTTGGGTTACAGACGCTTCAGGTTACAGACTCCACTAACCCAGAAACAGTACCTCGGGTTAAGAACTTTGCTTCAGGATAAGAACAGAAATCGTGCTCCGGCGGCGCGGCAGCAGCAGGAGGCCCCATTAGCTAAAGTGGTACCTCAGGTTAAGAACAGTTTCAGGTTAAGAATGGACCTCCAGAACAAATTAAGTTCTTAACCCAAGGTACCACT